GAAAAAAAAACAGCCTTAGAAAAAAGACTGTAAGTAGAAATAAAACATCCGAATGTTTCTAAAACAATAGGGTATCTCTTAAATATGAAGAAGCATTGAAAACCTAAATAATATGTATGGTAATGTAAATTTCTGTAACTCATATGAATGCCTCTCCATAGGAGACTGCACACAAAACTTAAGATATGTCTCTTATAGCTTTTAACGCAGGAAGTTGTCTTGATATGAATACTGCGCGGACAAGAAGTACGAGGAGTACAATATCGATAGAACAACTGATGAGGGAGAGATATAAACCGATGGGTGAACTGGTCTATTTATTCATTATCAGAATGTTGTCGAACGGTACAGGAAAATATAAAAAGAAAGGGCTTTGTCTCTGGCAATAAGCGTGCTGCTGTACATTGTCCAGAGTGACAGTCGTAAAACATGCCACCTATCATTATTAAACTGTTTCTGGTCCCAATCGTAAGAGATTGCCAGAATTGCGAGATCTAGCATCTGGGACCGCTTTATAGTTAATTGAACCGTGCCCGCGTCCTCATAATAGTTCGGTAGCAAGTGCCGCAACTAATGGTTGACCATCCAAGAGTATTGTTGATTAGGACAAGAGGGCCTGAAACAAAAATGACCGGCTTACAACCGCTATATCTGAATCTTAGCCTTAAAAGATTTGACTGGACCCTGCTTAACCGTTAAGCCGCTCTCTAACGAGTTTAAATATTTCCAATAGCAACAGACAGGTGACTTCATGATTCAAATCTTAGAACGCTTGACTGGATCCAGTTTCAGCCTCAGGGGTTCACGCTTATGGAGATGGGTTATGACTGATTGAGGACAGTATGCAGATGATCCTTCAATGTCCTTTTGTTTCATTGGTAATATTTCTCAATGTTCATTTTCCTTTCCAGTGTAACAGAACCTCGAAGGAAAGACAGACAGTCTTGCCAATCCCAAATGATTGTTTAGCTTATTTCAAACCTATAAGTAAAATCTGTTGCTATAATAGTAGGATAACTCATGGAACGTTTATGCTCATCACTTTCTTGGCAAGACGGCGTGATTTTTTTCACTCCGACTGGCGCCAACG